AAGCTCCCATCCCAGATGCAATTTTCTAAAAATGCAGATATAACAAAGCCCCAAACACTTTCTCTCCAACCACTCCAGGCAAATGATTGGTCACATTACTTGACTTCTCTGCACCTATCAGATTTGTATCTCACCCTTTCTCTAAGGAGCCCACAAACCCAGCATGTTCACACTCCTGTCTCAGCGACGTCTATGCTGACTTGGTCATGTCCACACAATGGAAGATGGCAGGATCCCCAAGCACAATTCTCTTTGGGTCAGGAAGTGGGTTTGTTCCAACAGAGGACACTGTGGATGCTGGTCCAATTGGGTGAATGAATCTTTATACGTCTCTCTCTCCTCCATTCAGGTGAGCAAGAGGTATCAGTGTTTGTAAAAAAAAAAAAAGGTTCTGACCTCCCTTTGTCGCCTCAGCCTGGTCCTCGTACCCTTGTCGGCATAAAAGAGTCCACGAGAAGAGTATACTTGCAGAGTACTTTCTGATTTATTCTTAAAAGTGTTTCGGCAAAAGCGACTGACCAACTGCACACACCTCAACAATACCAGCTTTCGCTAACAAACCAACCCAACCCAAACTAACATTTCTCTCTTTTTTTTTTTAATAATAATATTTATTCAAAGTTTAAAGTTACAAAAAGAAAAAAGAACAATACAAAATACAAAAAAGAATATAACAATAACAGAGAGAGAGAGGGAAAAAAAGAAGATATAAAAATACATTCAATTGAAATAGAACAAGAACAGATTAAACCTTTACATAACTTTTTTCCTTTACTTATTTCCTTGACCTCCTCTCACCTCCCAATTTTGTATTCTAGTTCAGATCGTTTTTCAGCAAATCCTTCCAACCTTATTTTCATTTACATAGTTTAATTTAAAATATTATAATTTAACATCCTCTCTTTCATCAATTTCATCAACTCATTTTTGCTTAATCCTTTATATCATATCTACCAAAACTGCCTAATTTTCTTTTTCCAACATCTTTCTAACAGTCTTTAATATTACAATATTTTTGAAGATATACTTTAAATTTTTTCCAATCTTCTTCCACCCAAACTAACATTTCTCACTCTATATATAAAACCCGGTGCAGGCCACTGACTCATGCTGACCCAGCTTTTTTAAGCATTAAAGAAACAGCGGCCAATTTTTAGCCGTGACAGTAGTTACAGTTCAGGGATGCATTTCAGCTAGATAAAAACCCAATAAATAGGCAAAGTTTTTTGAGGGATTTGGGCTTCTCAGAGGTTCCAGTGAAGGGTGTGGCTTAGAGGGCTGAATCTGGCCCTCGGGTTTGAGATTCCTCACCCCTGTCTAAATCCTCCCAGACCAGCTTGCAGGCCTGCCCAGCTTCCCCCCTCCTTCCTTCCCAGCCACCCTGGGGGTGGTGGCAGGGCAAAGGAAATGGGTCCCCTCTCCTCTCTTCAAGGCTTGGTGCTCTGCTGTGGCTGCAGGTCACATAAGGATGAGGCAGAAATTTCGCACAATTTGCAGATCTCACCGTTTCTCAGCCCAACGTGCCACTCAGTGCCTTGCAGAGGGTAAATGAATGTGAAAAGGGTTATAAAATGGTTGGTTCGTTGGAAGCAAATGGGACAGTCTTGATGGGTTGAACACAACACAAGGAATCACAATATATTGTTGGTATCTAACACTGAGTAAACTGGCAAGCATGTACAAATCTAAATCAAACAAGTGTTGGAAATGTAAAGAGGAAGAAGGTTCTTTTTATCATATGTGGTGGTCTTGTAGTAAGGTTAAAGCTTACTGGGAAATGATATACAATGAATTGAAAAAGATGTTCAAAATAACTTTTGTAAAAACAAAACCCAGAAGCTTTTCTTTTGGGAATTATAGGGACAGAACTACCTAAATTGTATAGAAATTTATTTATGTATGCTACTACAGCAGCAAGAATACTACTTGCCCCAAAGTGGAAAGAAACAGAAGTCCCAGTAAAGGAAGAATGGATACAAAAACTTGTGGAATGTGCAGAAATCGCGAAACTTACCAGAAGAAGAAGAAGAAATCAAGATAACAAACTTTTTATAAAAGAATGGAAATGGTTTATTGAACATTTACAGATAAATTGTAAACAGATAAAAACATTGGCAGGATTATTGTAATAACTTGCTGTTTCATAAGAGTATATATTTACAGTAGATAATAAAATGAGAAAGTTAAATGAATTTGAATATGCAGTAGATTTTTAAAAATAAATAAATTAAGGAACCACATAAAGAGGGGGAAGGAAGTCAAATTTTGAAATGTTACATTGATTGTAAAACTAATGAAATATATGAACTTGAAAGTATTTTTAAAACCCTTTTTAAAAAACCCCCCACAATGAATCACAATACACATTTTATTACACAGTCATAGACAGGATGGGTTTACTAGTTTTGTACTATATAACAACATAAAAAGAGCCCTGCTGGATGAGGCCAATGACCCATCTAGTCCAATACCTGTACTCTTCATCCATCCAGCTCCTCACATGTTAAATTCCTTTCTGCTAATTCAGCTGTGCCAGGTTGGTTGGATTGGTTGAAGTTACCATTTAAATATGGATTTATGCACCTTACGTGGGAGACCTTTCATTTGCAGATTTGTATCCTGTAAGAGAAGACACAGCAGGACTTGTGTGGTTTGCTAGGAGCAGTTTAAGCAACCTCATCATCACACGTACTAAAATGGCCTTGGACAACTAAGCATGATTTGGCCGATACATTAAAAGACTGTGTCACCCTCTTGCTGCGGTTGCTGTTTCTACAGAAAAAACTTCCTTGCAGCTAGAATAACAATGCAGCAACCTGCTTGGAACTCCATCGTTTTTATAAACCTTTTAAGGTTTATACCCAGTCTTCCTTTTGCACTGTGCTTTCCAGGTACAGGGATGCAGGTGGCGCTGTGGGTTAAATCACAGAGCCTAGGACTTGCCGATCAGAAGGTCGGTGGTTCGAATCCCCGTGACGGGGTGAGCTCCCGTTGCTCGGTCCCTGCTCCTGCCAACCTAGCAGTTCAAAAGCACGTCAAAGTGCAGGTAGATAAATAGGTATTGCTCCAGTGGGAAG